AGTTGTGTGTCTTCCGAAGACTGCCCAGATGTAGGAGGTTGAGCCGTGAATGAGGAATCAACTCCAATAGAGGTGTTCCCAGTATTACTGACGGGTGCTGAGGGTGTCTCATGAGCAAACTGGTCATCATTAATGGAAGAAGTCCCAAAGTCAAAATCATCATCATCAACTCCCAAAACATAAGGTGTAACACTCACCTCGGGTGAGAAGTTCAACAAAGCGGGTGTGGCGTAGGGAAACTCGTTCTCGTGAAAAACAACATCACAAGATACAAAAAAATCATGGGTGCCCAAATCAAACAATTTCCACCCCTTCTTCCCGTTAGGATATCCGACAAAAATGCACTTACGTCCCCATGGGGCAAACTTGTTTCCCTTAGCATGTTGATTGTGTGCAAAGCAAAGACATCCAAAACCCACTTATCGTCATTCGTGGGGGGATGCCCACACAATATTTCAAACAGGGCCTTGTTTCCAAGCAATCCAGAAGACGTGCCATTAATCAAGTACACGGCTGCCAGGATGCACTCACCCCAAAACATGACCGGGAGATTGACTTGAAACATGAGCACACGTGCAACATTAAGTATATGCTGATGTTTGCGTTCGACCCTTCCATTTTGCTGAGGGCTGCCAACGCAAGAGGTTTGAAATACGATACCTTTGGAAGCAAAATAATCACTCATACAAGTAAATTCCGTTCCATTGTCAGAATGAACAGGTTTGACAGAGGTTTCAAACTGATGTTTAACCATGGCAAAAAATGAACAGAACACTTTAAAAACCTCACTTTTGGCACGTAGCAAATAAACTCACACACCACGAGAGAAATCAGCTACTATAGTCAAAAAATAAATTGCATCACAAGAGGGTGGCATTTTATTTGGTCCCCACAAATCACAGTGTATGAGTTCACAAATACGAGAGGCTTTATTGGTACTAATAGGAAAACTTGCATGTGTCTTCTTGGCAACTGGACAACCGATACATGTTTTATTTAGGCCTTTGCGGCCAGAACTACTACTAATAACTGGAACTAACTTGAGCACTCCGTCCGAAGGATGGCCCAATCTTCGATGCTACAGATAAAAAAAACCAAGTTCGGTCAGCATGTTCATATGAGCTTTAGGCACGCTTCGAAAGTAGTATAGTCTGTCTTGCCTTTCACCTGCTCCAATCAGATTCCCGAGAGTTGGTCCTGTATAGAACATAGAATGATTAAGAATCATCAATCAGTTGTGTAACTGAGATCAAGTTACACATTTAATGAGGTACGTATAACACATTTTTTAAAATAAAATTCACAGTCAGCTGCACGTTCCTGATCAAGCTTGCCACAATAATTAACAGAGTCGCAATTGGTGAAAGAATCAGCATTACCAGTGACATGATGGGAAGCCCCGCTATCAATAATCCATGATGAAGAACGTGGCTTACCACTCATGCGATCCACACCCGACGTTCCAATATTAAGCATGTTGAGAGCTTGCACCTGCTCTGGATTAAGTTGGGCCGCTGCATTGTCACCACCTTCTTTAGCACCATCATCCGTCACTGCATGCGCACGAGACAACTGCAGTCCTCTAGAGGCAGCATGTGAGGCCCCACTTCCAGCTCGAGAAGACCGCTGACCTTTTCCTCCTTGATTACGGTCTGCCCACCAGTCCGGGTAACCGTAAATCTTGAAAAAAGTCCCCACCTCGTGGCCCTGCATCTTACAGTGAGCGCATTTGAGTTTGCTCTTGTCAGAACTTTCAATATCTGGAGTGGTCTGCCTGCAATGCAAAGACGCTTGACTTTTCTTTCACAGATTTCCCGCGTGCAATGTCCTGGGATTTTTCCTCTTGAAGTAGAGTTATGCCCGATTAAGAGTAACCGGAGTGGGCTGTGACAACAAGTTAGACTGAGCTACAGAGTATATCTCATCATCAACACCAATCAACAGTTGGTGGACCTTCTCTTCTTCCTTGTCATCCGCGAATTTCTTCGCGATATCACACGTGCAGGCTCCACAGGAGCACACATGTAAAGGTTTCAACCAACTCAGTTCGTCATACAGGGACATAAGTTGGTTAAAATAATCATCAAGGCTTTGTCCTTTGGTCTGTTTGCACCCGACGATATCCGCCCTTAATTGTTGGAGTCACGGTCCATTGGCAACATAGTACCGCTTCTCAAGATAATCCCACAGTGGCTTCGCTTCAACGTGGTGCGGAATGGAGGCCGCTATCTTGCCGTCTATGCCACGCAAGATCCAAGACACAATTATCGAGTCCACGGTCTCCCAATTGAGGAGTTTTCGTGTTTCGGTTGGCTTGTTTATGGTTCTGTCCCCAAACACAAATTTCCGTCTTGCCTTCAATTTCGATGTAAGAGGATTACACCGCCTCGGAACCAAGATAACTCATTGTGTCATTTACTTTTCAAGTTCACCTGAACACACACCCACTATTCTGAAGACCTACAAAGTGATTGTTTAACAAACAACTTTCTCAAATACATCTAAACTGCATTAATACAAACTCAGTTTGTATACGCAATTAAGCAGCGGTGAATCTTGGTTGGATGTTCAAAATTAATTTATCATTAAAATGTTGAGCAATAGTATTGACCGATCCAACAATTGAATATGTGTTACTTTTTCATCAACAAAAAAACTGGTAAAAAAGATTAAATGTAAGAGGTATTGTCTAAATAGTACACTATAAATTATTGCATCAATTTTATAAGTATATTTAACATTTTATTTTCAATTTTTTGGGTGTTCACATGAACCCCTTTGAAGAAAGGGGATCCGCCCTTGCGTTGGTCCTCCATAAAATCCCAAGTATATGCCAATGTGTGTGTAATATATATATATATATATAGGGGGGGGGGGGGTTATGGACATGCAATAAACTAAGTGGATTGAATAGATGACATGAGAGATTAATCAAGTTTATAAGTTGTGCTACTCGTGAAAAGAGGAGATTAGAAATGAGGTAAGCATTATTGTGACGCGTGAGTATATTAGGGATATGGTGAAAGTATGAATATGATAGAAGGCATGAAAGATTTATCCTCAAGTGCATCAGTTGTGATACTCGTGAAAAGAGGTGATTAGATATAAGGTAAGCATTATTGTGTCGCATGAGTATATTAGGGATGTCATGGAAGTCCTTAGGAAGTACAATCACATTATGAGCATTAAATCAGTGATAAGAAATGATATCATGTCGGTGCAAACACTTGTGCACAAGTGAGGTTGGATGCATCTGTCACTTAACAATTCCAAAAAAAATTGTGAAGTGGTGCATTGAGTGCCCATGAGAGAGAAGCTTGTCACATGTGGCGAACTCAACGGGTATGTGGAATCGAATAGTGATAGCTTTGAGGCGCATAATAACAAACGTGATTTTGACTAGAAAGAGCATTTTGTATTTTACCTCGACGTGTGGTTGACTATAATGCATATTTGGTTCAAGAAAAGATATTCTCACCTGATCTATAGAAGTGGAGTCAAATAGTATTCAAATTGACTACCTAGTATTGACTATACAGAGAATTATCTACACAAATTACAAGTTTATCCTTTTTGAGAACGTAGTCACTCAACATAGGATGATGGCGCTTGATTTTTAGGTAAGAAACGTAAAAGGCGGGTTAAAACACGTTGAGGCAAAGGTGTAAGCTTGATGTGTATATGTGATAAAACTTTGCACTTAAGGTGTTTGGTGAAGATGAATAATGCAAATGTGGGGTTGTGTGATTAACAATGGAGCCAAGGTTTAAAAAGGAAATTGCTGTTCTAGAGGCATCTTTGGTAAATTGATTTGAGTCTAAGTTGCCTTGGTTGTTGCACCTCAAAATATTGTCCTTGGTTTATAAATTCAGAGCAACCTAAATTTGAATAATGTTGACATTTGAATTGCTTTCCTCCGAGCTCTCAATTTGGTAATAATCTTCTCAAAGCAGACATGAAAAATTTAAAAGCTCTATTAACTATTTGAAAAGTTCTACGTTTGTGGAAATAAGGATATTAGTAACATCCACATTTCATAGAAGGAAAATTCGATTAACTATATATTCTACTTCTCAAACTTATCTTTATTTACTCAATTACTTGGAAAGGTATTCCTTAAGTATCTGGGGAAGCATTTGAAATTTCTAAAAAATCACATCTTCAGAAAATGTATAAGTACATAGCAATTGACGTTGCACGGTGTGGTAATACCGTAATACCTAACGATGATGTCCCTTAAAACATGATGGGTCACATGCAGCTAATGTGGTGAGATATGTCAAATGTGGCCTTCTCACATGACACGTGTATTGTCGTCTTCCTTTTAATGGTGGATGCAGCGCGTTGGTGCAAATTCTCCCATAACACAACAGAATCACACCGGAAGAATCAAAGTTGTATCACATTTTTAAGAGACATGCTGATCTCTGTACATGAATATGCTTTTATATACCGGTGGGGTACATGAATATGCTTTCATATACCTCGATGCCTTCCATGACAAATATCCGCGTCTTCCACACATTGGCTATTTACTAGTGAAGCATGACACCATTTACCTGTTTTACTTTCATTCTTGTATGGATTATGGAAGTCTAGATACATACACTTAAAAGATGTTACTCTTTTACTTACAATTACCTAAACTATTAATGTGTGTTTTGATTTTTTTATTCTGCTACAGTGTTATGTTATGGTGTGGTTGACACATTCTGCAACTAACTCTGTCCCACACAAACACAAAATCATGTGCTCATATAATAGAGACATTGCTGATCTCTGTCATACTCGGGGAATGCAACTGATGTGCTGACCACCTAGCATATATGGCTCATTATCCCCCAAAGGCATCACGATCCTTGATGTGGCCCCGTCCAAGTTATCCCGTCTTCTCTGGGAAGATGGGAACTGCGGCCAAGAAACCATTCGACTCTGACTTTTTTAATGCGCCTTTTCTTTTTTGTTGTACCCAAAAAAGAACTACTAGAAATATACAAACAGCCCAAAAAACTCACTTATCTACTCAGCAAACTGTTTCAAGACAGATTTGAAGTAACAGTGTCTTCACTTATTCGCTAATATGTTTCCCCCAGCTCTGTGAAAAGACAAGGTAAATGCTATATAATATATGATAAATCATGCAAATAAATGATAAATCCTTCCTAATTTTGTGCACCCTCTTCAGCGTCCTGCAAAATAACTCCTCTGACTTTGGTTCTGCCACAAGAATGTGTAATCAACAAACAGTAAGTAACTAGAAACAACGATAAAGGTGGTTCAAACCAACAATAATAACCTGCGATGAGTGGGCACAACACGTTTAATGACTTTTGTGGAAGGCTGTTGTCCTCTTTTACTATCTGCATTTTCGCAACAAATAAAATAATGCATAAGGAATGGTTCTCTAGTCAATTTGCCCATAGTAAACATCAGACAATGGCTTAAGGATGATATCCAACTTCCAATTTCTAACATAGAATTCAGCACCACAAACAAATTAGTTGGTGTCTTTAGTTGCCCCGTCTTTAGTTGGACCGAACAGGAAGGAAATGAACAAAAGTGGCAACAGAAAACACAACGGAATCATTCTGGGTTCTTTGTGGCAATGAAACAACACAACCGGTTCAAAACTTGAACCAGACTGGATAACCGTTTTTTTAACTTCATTTTTTCTTTAATTAGAAAAATAAAATCCATTTTGGGGTGGAGGGAGTATATATTATTAATATTATACGTAGTACTCCGTAATATTTTATTTTTGAAAGCAAAGATTATATAGCAAATTGAGTTTAAGATAGCATATATTCGTAAATTCTCAATTGATTCTATATGAATGGATAAATATGAAATAACAATAAGAGAATGCTAATATTGTTGTTGTCAGTACTCAGTACTATTACAATACATTTAAAATACTAATAAAACCCGCTGATTCCGGTTCAAACTGAAAAAATATGAGTTTTAGATGAAGAAGCCTGGAATCTAAAGTTGTAATATTTCATACCTGAAAAACGACATAGATGTTATTCCAGTTCAGTTTGAGTTTTTGCGGTGTGTATACCAACAAATTAGAAGTCCACACTTCACAATTGATACCTGGAGAATGATGTGAGCCCATAATAGATGCAGAATCTGATAATGATTTGTCAGATGCCTTATTCAACTTCTGCCTTTTTAAGTACATAAATTCACCCAGTTGCTTCTGGAGAGACTCATTCTTTTCCTGCCAAGCAAATATTTTGATTACTAATTTACTATATAAGAGAATACATTGATTATGATGAGACAGTATGCTTAATTTTGAATACTATATATTTGGTCAAAAGGTATGTGCTACATGCGCATACTTGAAGAAAGGACCAACGTCAAAGTCAGGTTATTTGTGTTCGTGATTCTAAATGAACTTGGAATAAGTGAAGTTTAGCATCATAAGTGTTGACATCACACTACCTTCTCTACTGATAATGCTTTATTCAAGTCACAACACCGTTCTTGCTCTGAAAAAAAAATCACTGAGAAAAGTAAATTAACTCTTCAGTGAAACATATTCCTGGGGCATAAAGATTTACACAGGACACATGCAACACCAAACAACATTCAAGCCTTAGTCCCAAAAGAGTTTGGGGTGATATGGGGGATGCAAGAGGACTTCTCAAGGAGTTACTCATCCTAGTACTACCCTCACTCAAGCACACTTAACTTTGGAGTTTTGATAGGATCCGTTGCATTTGTACTGGTATGATCATACAATGAGTGCAAAAAATAAATGATTGGTAGGCCATGAGGAAAAGATCTTACATGCTTTAGAAACGTAAACATCAAGTTTAAATGATTGATAGGCTTAAATTTCCAAAACACATTAGCTCACAAATCATTTAAAGAAATAATGAGTCATGACTATTCACCAATTTCATCACTAGCATGTAGAAAATTGTCACTCAATAAGTCAAGAATAGAGCATCACCACTTATGAGTACATTCTGCACACTCTTGAACGATTTATAAAGTTCTAAGGAAAGACTAGCCATAGCCTCACTTGCAGCAGCACCAACCAGTTTACTGAGTGATATACTGATTCGGGGCATTCCCTTTGCTTTCTGAGCAATTAATTTTGCACCAACAGCATCTTTGCAGGAAAAAAAGAATGAAATTTAGTACTCACTATAGCAGTATAGCAGTATTATGCAATTCAAAGAACTATAGCTGATCTGCAGTCTATTAAACTGAAATTTCGATCAGAGAATAACTTGCCGCTTTGTCTACGTTTAAGTCCACTTTAAGGAATTTTCTGCATTAAATAGGGGAGAATTGCAAGGTATAAATTACCTAAGGAGTTTCCATCCAGAACAAGCTTTACATCCTCCGATTCTAACGAGGCTAGAACATAATCTACTAAATCAGACAATGAGCCTCCTATACCTGTAATGTCCCTCTGTAAACACAATTTATAACTATAATAATAAAAGCACTAGCGAAACGGGAACCTAAATAATTAAAAGGAACAGACAGAGAAATGAGGGGTAGAGGAGGGACCATGTCTTCGAGGTCTTGCTCGGTCTTGAGAGCTTCCCATGTGCTGGAATGGAGGTCAGTGACGTGAAACCGGAGTGCGCGCGGGTCACTTGGCAAGGGATGGACATGGAAGAGAAATGGCCGCAGAGGAGTTGTCGGGGAAGCTAATCCCTCCGCCTTAAGCTGCCCAAATATAGACTTCATTTATCGGAAACCTATCACCGTTTTTTTGAATTCTTCTGTCCTACGCTTTCTTCTCACTCGAAGAATTTAAGCAGTATGAAGAAAAGATACATGAACCAGAGCCTTGGTGAAATAGGTCCAAACCTCGAAGGGAACCAAAGAAAATAAAACCGAGGAACTGTTGGAGAAATTGGGAAGACAGGTATTAAAACATCAACAGAACGGAGGAAGGTTGTACCATACAATTTGGTGAAGATCAAGACTGTTCTGACTTCTGAGCATTAGGACTTACGGAGTAGAATCTAGGAATGGGCATCGCTGCTTTGTGCTTCGTACGTTCTAGATTAGATTGGTATATTAAAATTAATTCGTTGACATAACTTTAGAACGTGCTTTGTACGTTCTAAAGTTATGTCAACGAATTAATTTTAATATATACCAATCTAATCTAGCATGTTACATTTTACGTTTGGAAATGAGCATAAAGCGTGTTCAAATCAGTATACATAACTTACAAAATTAGTATAAAAAATTTTAAAAGTTCATTTATGTATGTTATTTCATTTTAGATATTATACTCATTTGAATTTAATATGGAGAGATTTGCCTAAATAGGACTAAGACGTATGAAAAACTCCATCTTAGGACTATCACTTTTCCGTTTAACAGCATAAGACTAAAATATAGATAGAATACCAAAACTGCCCTGCAAAACAACTCTTCTTCCGTTCGCGGCTTGTGAATGTTACGCTGAAGAAAGTCTCTGCATTGCGTCTGCAACTTTCCCAGATAAGCTTCTTCTTCTTTTCTTCTTCTTCTTTAAAGCTATTTTCTTTCTTCCACTTTTACTCTTTTCTTCTCTTTTGGATATTCATTTTTTATAAATTCCATCAAATTCACTTTAAATAATTCATACTATTTTTCTCGCCAATTGGATCTGAAAATGGCATAATTGCTATTTTATTGAACATTGATTTGGAAAAAATGTCACTATCTTGACATTACATTCACCAAGGTGATAATTTTTATTTCACATTTCTAAAGAGTAAAAATGACTCCAACTTGACATTTTTCACTTTTCTCACCAATTGGACCTGAAAATGGCATAATTGCAATGTTATTGAACATTGATTTGGAAAAAATGTCACTGTCTTGACATTACATTTATGAAAATGACAACTTTTATTTGACATTTCCAAAGAGTAAATGACACCAACTTGACATTTTCCACGACTGCCGTGTTTTTATATATGGAAATGTCATCTCCATGACATTTTGGGGACAAAGATGAAATTTTACAAAACAGAGTAAGAAGAAGAAGAAATTAGATGAGGAAGAGAAATTTGGGAGATAATGTTTGAATGTTAAGAGGAAGTTAGAAAAGGAAGTAGAGAAAGGGGAGTAGTAGACAACCTGGAGTTTTGGACTGGACATCGTAGAATTGAGATGCAGGAGAAGGTGGTCGCTACTGCAGGGGAGAGGATTGATTTTAGATTGCAGGATAAGAGGATTGTTGTTGGAGTGACATGAGAAGAGCATGGCGCAGAAGAAGATCGATGCTGGAGGCGGAGACATGATACGCACAGGGACATTTTAGACTTTGTAGAAAACGTAAAAACTGATAATAGGAACGGATGACTCCTATATTGAAGATAAAACATATTAAGTCCTAATTTCGGTTTTTGTCTCTATTTTAGTCCTATTTAGAACAATTACTTTTTAATATAAAACTCATTTGAGATCGATAACAACAAAGATTGCTCAACAACGAAGTAGACTCCCCATGTCTTTGAAAATACAAGCTCAAACAACAAAACTATGCCGACAATTGTGCCGGGGAAAGAAAGAGGGGGGGGGGGGGTTAAATACGTTGGCGGAGAAGGGGCGAGTGATGAGCAGTGGCGACGAGTAGTGAGGTGGAGGAGAAGTGGGCGAGTAGTGACTGTTGGCGACGAGCAGTCTGCCTGGTGCGAAATCAGATCAAAGAAGGCAAGCGAGATCGAAGAAGCCATGTGTGAAGTCCGGTGCGAAGCCAGATCGGAGAAATTTGGTGCAAAGCCAAGAAACACAGAAGCCCAAAATAGCCCGACTGTATCGTGGGCACGGTACAATCGGGTGTAAGATATATTATACACTTTCTCGTCTTCTTATACTCGAATTAAATCTTTTTTAAGCGTGAGTTACATCTTATTACGCGCGAGTTACATCTTATTATGCACAAGTTACATCTTATTATGCGCGAGTTACATATGATCTTGCCTCAACAAGTTACATTTTGCATACACCTAAGTTAGGTTTCCATCAATTGCGACTTACATTTTTCACAATACGAGTTACATCACAAAATAAACTCATGTTATTGAAACAAACAAAAAAACTTCTTTTTTAGGCAAAAAATGCTTTTTAAACATAGTTATGGCCTTAAATATTAAAAACAAAAATATTCACTATCTATGTAAATTAATTAATTGAGCCATTGGGCTCGTTGTTTTCATTATTTAGATTTGATAATATATGGAATCACATCTTCTTATGGCCGATTTAAATCTTTCTATGTGCGAGTCTCATCTTCCTGTGTGCGAGTAACATTTGGATTTGTCTCAACAAGTTACATTTGCATGTACCTAAGTTAGACTTTCCATCAATGCGAGTTACATTTTTTGAAACATCAGTTATATCACAAAATATACTCATGCTATTAAAACAAAAAATCATTTTTCGCAAAAACAAAAAGATTTTTTGGTAAAAGATTAAAATGATTTTTGGAAAAAAAATGTTTTTTTTTCTAAAATATTTTATGGCCTTATTAATATTAAAAATAAAACATATTCACTGTTTACGAAAATTAGTTGAACAATTAGACTTGTTGTTTTTATTGTTTACAATTGATAGTATATGAAGTTACATCTTCTTATGAGTGAGTTACATCTTTTATGCGTGAGTCACATCTTGCTATGCGCAAGTTACATCAAACGTGTCTCAACAAGTTATATTTTGCAAACACCTAAGCTAGACTTTCTATCAATGTGAGTTACAATTTTCATAACACGAGCTACATCATAAAATACACCTTGCAAAAAGAAAATTAATTCTTTGGTAAAAGATTAAAATGATTTTTCGGGAAAAAAATACTACGTATATTTTATGGCTCTAATATTAAAAAACACATATTCACTATTTATCAAATATAATTGAGCAATTAGACTTCATGTTTACATTGATTACATTGAAATCAATTTTTTATATCTCATACTTTGCATTAGACATGTTACACTTCGACTTGCCTACAATTACATTTTTTATCAATGTGAATTACATTTCTTTACACGCGAGTTATATCACCCTGTTACTGGGACAAGAAAAAAACAAACAAAAAATTATCGTTCACGCGTGTTTTGACTATGAGAGCACCATACTCACTATGGACTGCTCCCACGGTATAAAAATTGATAATAGAACCTCTTTCACTTTATTTAATTTAATTAGTAAAGCTATATCCTATTATAAATATAAGAAATTTTGTCAATGGGGAATGGGCCAGATAAAACTTATTATATTGATATAAGGCTTGAGTGATTGAAAATATCAATTCAAAATTTAAAATTTATTTTTTATCTTGTTATTTAAAATTTGTTAAATGTTATATAATACTAGTATTATTAAACTAAAGACTTTTTTGAAAAATTCATCAAAAAAATTAGCATTAAAATAAATAAATCATCGAAAATTTTCAATTCAATACCTGGGAAAATTGTTAGCCATCAATCAAGAACTGGAAAGAAAAAATGTATGAGTTGACTCGAATAGTTGAAGAGTATCAATCAAAGACTGGATTAAAACATCATAAATTTTATTTATTTATTTATTTATTTATTTATTTATTTATTTATTTATTTATTTATTTATTTATTTATTTATTTATTTATTTATTTATTTATTTATTTATTTATTTGTTTGTTTATTTATTTATTTATTTTCTTCCTGGTTCTTGAAGAATTCTTTTCTGAAAGAGTATTATTTTAATAAAATTAAATAAGTTTAAAATGTTTAAAATAAAATAAAAAACATAAAAACCATAATATTTTAATTTTCAGATTGAAAATTTTCAATCATTCAAATCATATATTGATTATTTTCATCTTTTAGTTCCTTGATTATTGAAAGTTATTACTACGGTATATTTTCAAGCCTTTTATTGAAAAACTCCATAGATCATTATAAAATTCAAAAGTTGTGATTTTTTAAATTTTGGATTGATATCTTTCAGATCTTGATAGGTTCTATTAGGGGTGGGCACGGGACGGGATGGGATGGGACGGGAATTAGACTATCCCGATCCCGAACCCGATTTAGGATAACGGGACAGAAGTACAGAACGGAATGGGACAAAGACGTTGTCCCGCTATTGTCCCTTTTAAACCGGTACCGGAACAGAACGAGACGGTATGGGACATCCCAAAAAAATCAGCAAAAAAATACAACTCCAAAAACACATCAAAACGATAAACAAACTTCATGAAAAATATATAACACTAAAAATGCAACACATAAAAGTTACGATAAATGCAACACAAAAAAGTAGTAGATTAACAGGATAGTTGCACGAAACAAACGGTAACAACAACAACAACTCCAACACACGCAATATTACTAAGAAACTGCAAAACAAAAAAAGACAAGCAATATTATTAAAAATCAAACACGTGGCAGTATATGTGAGTTTCTTTTTAGTATGTAGAAGATAGTTCATACTTGATAATTTAGTCTCCTTTATGTGTTCTACATATTAGATAACTAATACCTAGTTAATTTCATTAGTATTTGAATTTGGGACAACGGGACGGAACATGACATATTTTACTTGTCCCGGTCCCGTTTTGTTTTGAAACGGTTCGGGACCGGAACGAGACAAAAATAGTTTGTCCCGAATTTAACGGGACAATTTCGGAACGGAATCGGAACGTTCCGGAATGGACCAACGGGACCGGGTCTTTTGCCCAGCCCTAGGTTCTATCTTACATGTATTGAATTGAAAAAGAATTATTTGTAAAGTAGACTCAGCAATAGTTTAAAACTTTAATTATTACTACATCTGGTTCAAAATAAACTTCATATAATATTTTCTTTTTTGGGCATGTCCAAAATAAAGTTCACACTACAATTTTTCGCAAGTTTTTAATATAAAGTTACACGTATACCCTTACTTTGTTACCTACATTGCACTCGTGTCCTCTCTCCCACTGAATTTAAACTATTTTGTAGAGGTATATTGGAAAAGTATAAAGCAAAATTTTCACTTTTTTAAAAACTATGAAGTTAAATGTGAAGTTTATATGAGACCGAAAAGAGTACATGAATAATTGCCCATAACTAGACCCACTCAGAAAATTCTTTGAAATTACATACTCCGTATGTTATATCCTATAACTCATCTCAGTTAAGAATGCTTGCATTAAACATTCCACGTATACTACAATACTATATACTTCGTATAATAGGTTAGAAATTAAATCGCACAAAAAAACTCTTTGTTTTCAATTATTTACCTAAACATCTAATAGATGGACGTGAATCATCATCATGCATATAAAGCCATACCAGAATTGAAGTGCATGCATTATTTATAAGCACATTGCGCATAATGTTTTTTGCATAAACATTTTTAGGAACAAAACAAATTTTGATTCAAATTCGCATTACAAATGTCTCCGATCCCTCTCTGGACACATTTCATGGATTGCCATTTTTATTTGTCGTGTTTCTTATCAAAGCACTTTTCGGATAACTAAGTAAAGAAATACAACAATAGAGAAACCGTCTATTGTTTTAAGAATTCTCATTTAGGCAATGTTCTAAAAGGCGTAAGGCGTGTCGAGCCACGACACGACTAATAAGTCTCGAGCCTTTGAAGTCTATGTTGGAAAAATGTGTGAAAAATTGCATTAAATGGCTATTTTGGGGCAATTTTTTGAGTGGGGTCCACTTCCGATTTGGGTCGGGTCAAAGTGGTTTCGGATTGTCCTTGTTAAGGGCTACAATTCGATATATGGTACGCTCAAAACGGATAACGGGTGAATGAGAAATCGCTTTTCGAAGTTTACCCGTTAGAAGGGAAAAAGGATGGGTTTCTAGTGTGTTAATTTCCCACACCGGAAAACCCAAGGGATTTGCTACCCTTTATAAAGGGACTTCCCCCTTATGGAGTTAAGATTCTTAAGGGTAAAGGCTCTCTCCACGCGCGCAGGGGGGGGGTGCAAATCAAATCCCGAATTCGGAGAAAAAAAACCGCGACTTGCGTGCGCGGGCGACCTGCTCCGGTTCTGATTACCGCACATCAGAACTGCTCCAGTTCTGATGGCCTTCAGGGCAGAGATGCTCCGGTTCTGATGACCGCGCATCAGAACTGCTCCAGTTCTGATGGCCTTCAGGCAGAACTACGTAGGGGTCTTCTGATGGCTTCTGAACCGTTACAGCAATAAATGCCCAACGTTTATGTCTTTTAATGCAGTGTTAAATGGACAGTTCATGGACAATTCAATGCCCAACGGATTGGTCATTGATGTCCAACGTTCTGGTCCATTAATTCACTATTTTCATACAACAAATCCTCCTATATAAAGGCTGGCAGGTGGTTTGCAACAACACAGGTTCTTACACGAATCCATACACGTTTTAGCTCTAAAAACACACTGCTAGCATTCTGAAAAATTCCCCTGTGTTCATACTGTGTTCTCGTTCGCTGGAACTCTTGTTTGTGTGCTCAAACATTAGTTCGTAGTCATCGTATCCTGGGAAACGATTGTTGCAACGCTCCTAGCACCGTGGGAGGCAACAAATACGTTTTAAGGACATCGTGCGTAGCACGAGCTTTGACTAATTCTGCTTCATCTCCTTTCTTGTTTTTCTCTAGTCATTTTATTTAATTAATTTATTTTAATTAATTTTCTTTATTTTCCGAAACACACCCAACAGTCTAGAAGATGTTAGACGAGGCGTATGCACGAAAAGCATGAAAAGGCCTCGACGATTAGTTGCTGGAGGAGAGGGGAAGGGCTCGTCTTCGTCGCCAGTTAGCTTCAGCGCATCAGGATTCTGAGATGCATGCAAGGCTGTGAGGTAGAAGATGCTCTACGAAGAAGACCGGTGAATGGGGAAGTAGAGAGGAAAAGAAAGAAGAAGGAAGAAAAGGAAAAAGGGAAAACAAAGTGATGACATGAGTGCCATGTATGCATTATGTTAGTCCACGGGTGCGCCACGCCAGCAGGTAACATGTGGATCGATGAGTTACTTGCTAAAAATGGATTTAATAAAATTTTAAAGTACGCCATAATTGATGAAACTTAAAATACAATGGTTGAATTGGCTTTCCGTATAGAATACGAGGGCCAATTTAACACTTTTCTCAAACACAAACGTTCTTCTTTCGTAAAATAACAAAGATGAGAAGTAATTAAAAAAAGGATGAGGGATAATTATTAACCAAATAATAAGGCGAGACGAGGAAGCCATCGAACTTTCCTCCTGTGAACCAAATACGAAAAAGTCATTTGTACACATAATTTGTACACAGTTACACACCCCCTAGTTGTCTGTTTAAACAGACAGTTCATTCATAAGCTTCTATATACACAGATAACTAAGCAGTGTGTACAAATTATTTGTACAAGTAACACTCGTGTTCAATAGGTTACTCACTTCAAAAAAGCTATTTGTACTCATCCTTGTACCCACCATGTTTGTGCAAATTTTTTTGTCCGTGAATCCACAGACAAAATATGTATGTGCAAATTATTTTGTCTGTCAATCGAATTCACAGACAAAAAACTCTTCACAAACATGAGGATTATAAGGTATTAAGAGTATTAGAGTCTAGTGACTCTAGTCTAGGGTCTAGACCAATAATCCAACATAGACTCCGCAATTGTAGTATTTAATTCATTTCGAGTTTCAAGTTTCAACTTTCAACCAGCCCGAAAAATAGCTTTTACCGATTTTTTTTGCCAGCGAGCATCAGTTACATCAATAAGACATCCTCGTCATGTTTCACTCTCCATTCCTCCAATTCTCCCTTCCTCATTCATTGCATCCACTTCAACTTTATATGCGACTGTAATAACGTATATAAACCAAACCAGATCTCCATTGCCCAGATATTTTTCTTCCATACACTCGTATATAAATGTGTACACGCGTATGTCTTTGCGGTTATTGCATTTCCCACGACGATCTGTCTTTGTTGGTGGCCGGTACTTGGGCAGATCTCTCACCAGGCAATTTACCTATCCCCTACCCTTTTCTTTAATGTGGCATATGTTGACAAAATTAACATCTCTTTCGTTCTCAGATTCCATAGCCATTTTTAGCATTTTGATTGACATTTGCTTTTCCTGAATGATGGGTATTGTTAAAAGTTTATTCTTTTCCAATTGTTTACTCCGTAGTATTCTTTAGTTTCTCCTGTATCGCTTGAATTAGGTCATCCTTTTTTTTTATGAGAATCCCTCTTGTATTTATTATTGAGTTTTTTTGGGTTTTTAAAATTTTGGACTAAATGGGAAGGATTTTCAGGAATTGGTAAGCAAGTTTACAACTTTAAGCTATCTGGACTGTTCTCAATTTCTGTTTAAAGGAGGCGTGTTCTAGATTGCTCTATTTTAGCTGCAAAGGTTCGACTTTTAAGCTTGATAACACATAATTTTGACCCTTAGTAAAATTATTTATCTATTACTCTATTAGTAAAAAATATCAAAAGTTGTTATTTAGAAAATATTCATTTTGATAAACTTAACAACATTCATGTTATGATTTTAGCCTGTTCATTAAAAATATATGTTCAGTATATAGCTTAAAAGGACAATGGTTGCAGTGTTTAAAATGTGGAGGCCTGAGGAAGTGTCATTTAATTGGTTTGCATTGTTCTTCTATTGGTTAACCTGTGTAAGAATGAGATGTGGCTTTTCTGGGGTACTAATATCTAAAATGATTGGCACTTGCACAGCTAGAGTCTCTGAATTCGATATCAAACAGAAGGTTACTATAATATAAGTTCTGTTTGGAGCTCACTCAGAGATGAAGGGTGGACATGTTGGGAGATTTTGGGGGAGGCAATTTTCTCTCACTGTAGCTGCTCTCTTGCTCACAACCATAGTCCTCTGGTTTTGTGAGAAAAATCCACTTATCACCAGTTTATTGTCGGCCGAAGACCAGTTTATAATGCAGTCCTCAGGTTTGTGTGTGGAGCCATCCTCTATCCCAGTGTTTCTTTTTTTTTTTTACCTTATGAGGCTTAGTAATATGCCTTTAGAAAATATAATACTAGTAGATGCTTAATATACGGCTAGCCAAATGTGTCATCTACATCATGATATTTGTTTGTTGCTGTAGGTTTCGTGGTGGATGAGACTACTGATTCTTCTCATTCACTTAAGTCAGAAGAGGATAATACTAATGACTATTCACATAATCATATAGCAGAAACTAGAAAATCTGAAAACAGAGAAAACAATTTTGGTGGTTCTGAAACAAATGTGACAGTCTCATCTTTACATACAAAAGATCAAAAGAAAGGAGGTATGTCTGTAGTCCCTTTTGCTTATTCTTAAAATCTTTTATAACTTATGGAGATATTTCTTCAAACTTTATGAAAGGCACCCATTACTTACATATATTAATCTCACATGCTTATCTTTTGCATAGTATGTAATTATGCTAAGGGAAAATGGGTTCCAGACAGCAAGAGACCATTGTACTCTGGACTGGGATGTAAACAATGGTTATCCGATATGTGGGCTTGTAGGCTGACCCAACGTACTGATTTTTCTTATGAGGGATATCGGTGGCAACCAGAAATGTGTGAGATGCCAGATTTTGAACGATCTAAGTTTTTAAAGAGGTGTCTCCCTTTCATTCTATTCAATCTCTCTTATACAAACTGTATTGCACTTAGTCTCACAATGGGGTGTTCCCTTAGTTTGAAATAAAGGACTTGAAAGAATACATATGTTATATTACATATTCAAGCTGTATTGCACTTAGTCTCACAAAAATGAATAAATGGAATTATTTTAAATTTGTGCATTCAAAAATTATTTTCCCTAGTGAATATACTTTTCAAACAGAAATGTTTAGCACATCTATTTGTACGTACAAGTGGACCCATATATATATATATATATATATATATATGTATATGTAAACATTTATGATAAGAATAAGGCTCCTATGAAATTAATAAGCTAAAAGAATTATAATACGTATTTTCTAGATTTGTACCATGGTTTTTTTACTTTATAAGAAAAATAAGTAATAGACATTATATTTCCAAATACATTCTCAAATAGTTAACAATCTAGATTTTATTTAGTACGGAGTTATACATGTTAGAGAATAATTGCATAAATTATATACTACCTCCGTCCCAAAAATGAAGTTCTCTTGCACTATTCACTCGGTCAACTTAAATCTCTCTTAGTCTTTTACTTTATAATTTATATATGTGCAACTTTTATCAAATTTGAATAATTTTTTAGTGACAATACTTTTTAATGCATTTTCTGAATATACAAAATTTATTTACTAAAAATAATCTGAGTGTTGACCGGGCTCAATTAACTTTATCATCAGTCAAACTTTGTAAACCGAAATGAAAACTTCTTTTTGGGAAGAAGGGAGTATATAGTAATGACATAACATGTTTATGTGGCACATTGTATGCTCTCAAAAAGTTACTCTTATATGTAAATAATAAAAGCTTAATTCTATTTTTTTGAATGTATAAAAGTTTAGCGGTATTTTTTATTCGTTTTAGTTTTATTTGGTGTCGGTTTTGTTCGGACTAATACAGTTCAAACATTACTAAACTAAAACTGAATTTCATATGATTCTGTATTAGTCTAGTTTGGTTTGGTTTAGTATGGCGCAGTCAAAAGGGTTCAAAATGCCCACCCTTTGATTGAATGAGTCAGGCTAAAATTCACTCGACAAGGGAAAACATGGGACAAATTATGTCTAAGGTTGTTCGTTGTTGGACTGATTTTAGTCACAAATTACATAAGGGGTCAGATCAAACTTAAATAGACCAAATCAAACCAGACTAGACGTAGATAATTGTAAAATACAATAAAATAGACCTTTACTAGACCGATTCAGTCCAAACTTAGAGAGACCAGATCAAACCACATCAGCAGAAAATTTCAGTTCATTTATAAACATTTTTATTCAAATATGGATATGAGCATTTAAATATAAATACATGAGCATAATAGTCCTATTTGTGGAAATAACCACAGGTTGCCCTAAATGTGAATTTCAGGCATGTTTTACTCTTACTCCTATTGGACACATATCTATTATTATAACCATATGAATTGTTGTCAAAGATGAAAAATAGTTTGGAACTAGAGTTTCACACCTAAATGTAACCATATTTCAGAATGCAGGACAAAACAATTGCTTTCATTGGAGATTCATTGGGCAGACAGCAATTCCAATCCCTCATGTGCATGGTGACTGGTGGAGAGAGCAGACCAGAGGTTGAAGATGTAGGATGGAAGTATGGCCTAGTGACATCACGTGGAGCCGTCCGTCCCGATGGATGGGCATACAGGTTACCCACAACTAACACAACAATCTTGTATTACTGGTCAGCCAGTCTATGTGGGATAGAGCCACTCAACATGACCGACCCCAGAACTGAATTTGCCATGCATTTGGACCAACCCCCAGCTTTCCTGACCACATACATTGACCAGTTTGATGTCGTGATACTTAACACAGGTCACCACTGGAATAGAGGGAAGATCAATGCTAATAGATGGGTTATGCATGTGAAGGGAGCCCCAGTTCATAACAGTAAACTTGCTGCTGTAGGAAATGCCAGAAACTTTACCGTTCACAGTATAGCCAGATGGTTTGACGGTAAGATAAAATCACGACCTCAGCTTCATGTTTTCTTTAGGACTATATCCCCGAGACATTTTTCCAATGGGGAATGGAACACTGGAGGTAACTGTGACAATACCATCCCACTTACAAAAGGGAGTGAGGTGTGGCAAGATGATTCAAATGACCCTGTTGTTGCGGCTGCTGTTAAGGGTACCAAGGTAAGAGTGTTGGATATAACAGCCATTTCGGAACTCAGGGACGAGGCCCACATCTCGCGTTATAGCTTAAAAGCTTCGGTGGGCATTAACGACTGCTTGCATTGGTGCTTACCTGGCATTCCTGATACATGGAACGAAATCCTTTCGGCTCAGCTTTAGCTTGGGATTAAAATAGATCCTCTGGTAATATATTTGATGAAAGAATGCTGCTCATGGAGGGCTGCAGGGACATTTAGCTGCAGGAGAAGACGATCAATTGTAGGCGGGGTAAATTTTGCCTCATATCTTAATTTATGCAAGGCTTATCAAATCCCCTTCAGGCTCTAGAAATCCTGTCGATTCCAAGGGCCCTGTGTTGTACGGATTAATACATCACATGGTAGAGAAATAGTAATGGCAGCTTAGCATAATTATGATGCTTAATTAATATCTCAATTTTTTTAGTTCCAGCCCAGTTCTCTTATTGATATGAAATTGACACTCTTCTTGGCAAGCATGACCACGTAAATGGCAGCTGATGTTTCATCTTGTTCTTGTTAGGCTTGTCTCATTTTCATTCTTTTAATAGCTACTGATTTTTGGTATATTGGAGGTGGGTGTGCTTAAATTTAGGACCATGACAAACAATGTTTTAAAAATTTTAGGATGCCAGAACGTGGCATGTGTAAAAATAAGAATTACAGAGAATATTTTTTTACACTTTCCATAGAGATTTTGATATATAACCAAAGAAGAAAAATAGTCTACATATTTAAGCTTAGATGTTATCACACACTCCCTCCATCCCTAATAACTTTGTCAAGTTTGACCGGCACGGTAATTAATAAAGTAATGACTGTGTAGTTGAGGTTTAAGCAAAGGATGACAGAATTAATTGAAACCACAAATTCTTTAATTAAAAGGGAAAGTAACAAAGTTAATGAGACATTAAAAAAAGGAAAGTTTACAAAGTTATAAGGAAAGTTGACAAAGTTATATTCTAGAAAGTAGAAATCACCCTGTGGAAAAGTAGAACATGATATTTTTCCGTAAGACTACAATGTTTTATACTTTTAATTTTAATTTTGGAAGCGTGATTTTTTTACCATTTCAATACTAACCAAACATGGTTTAGGCGTTAGGGTGTAGGAGTTTGGAATTTTTTTTTTTAGATTTCTTAGAGACGAACTATGCTATTTCAAATGCATGCAAACTTGCAAAGTGCCAAAAGCCCAAAACAATTAGCAGTCAGGATAAATGCCCTGGCTAATGGTTTTTTTTAGGAAAGCAAATAAAAAGAAACTGGTAGGGCAATGCATAAATCTACATAATTGGAGTACTTTAGAAAAAACATTCCCCCCCACACACATAAAATATCGGCACCGTCCATCTTATTGACACCTCAGCCATCTTACAAAATACATTGTAATATTGTATATAGCGAGGTATATTTTCTTTTAAAAACTATGGGATTTAAGTGGGATGCCTCAAGAGTAGTTCCAAAAATGAGAGTAGTTGCAAACGTGCATTTCATTGTTAGGATCACACGAAAAGAAAAATTAGTTACAAATGCATATCCAATCAGCCACTGTTGTACAAATATACGGAGTATATTATTAGAAGCATTAGCACCTGTATAGAATTATATTTATAACATGTTATTTCTTTGTTTCTTTCTTCTTCTTTTCCACACCTTTTGGCGTCTTTAGTTTTCTATCGCATCATAAATTTGTTAAATATACTTTTATTTGTAGCCATTGCCCTTAATTAAACACTTAGTAAATGAGCAAAAGTTATTTTGCTTTTTAATCCATGTGAGTTTTTCAACCTGTAAAAGTACATTCTCAGATTGTTTATTTCCTCTCTTTTTAGAAAGTTTTGTTCTCAAAGGTTTTTTTGATTGGCTACGTATCACCGGTATTTTTTCATCTTCGAATGTTCCTTTTCACTCATTTGTGATATTGCATCACAAATGAAAAAGATGAAGCTCATTTTAGTTGATTTAAGCACAAAATAGAGCTTTTATATACGGAGTAGGAAACTTGGGTACCGACATTAATCATAGGCTCATCACCTCAATATTGCAAATACTGATAATTGATGTGCACTACTTCAAGGCTTTTACTTACATTCCTCTGCCCTGTACTTTTTATTTCAAGTTTGATCTTTCTACATAATAACGATACGTCTCTCCAATTTTGTTTTCCCGTTCATTTGACTATTCATCAGCTTCCTTCATCTAACATAATATGAATCTTAGAGCCCGTTTGGTAATACTCAAATCGAGTGAATCGGCTGATCCTGCTGAAATTTATGAAGTTCTGGCTTAAATGGTTGTATTGACTGATTCTGCTAATTTATGAAAACTTAAATTTAAAATATATTTATTAATAAAATAAAGAAAAAGTTATATATAAAAATAGCTAAAATGGCCTCTACAGTAACTTCAGCCGAAACAGGCAGAAAAGTAACTACAGCCTTACACATTTCAGCGCGTGAAATCAAAAGTCACGTGTTTGAATTGATTGATAAGTCTGATAAGCCGAATAACAGTGTTACCCGGACTCTTAATTTTTTATGCACTATCCATCTCACCTTCCTTGAAACACTTGCTTAGAACTCCATAACAACATGCTATAGGCACAATACATTTTTTCAGTTTTGATTCCTGCAATCCTGCTCATTTGACTATTCATCAACTCCCTTCATCTAACGCCTTGAAACACTTGCTTAGAACTCCATAACGACATGCTATAGGCACAATACATTTTTTCAGTTTTGATTCCCTGCTCATTTGACTATTCATCAACTCCCTTCATCTAACGTCATATGGGTCTTTGTTTTTTTTTTACTATCCACCTCACATTCCTTGAAACACTTGCTTACTCTCCATCAGCTGTTTTAAGCGACACCCAGGAACACAGAACGATCCGAATGCATTATTCTTTGCGGAAAACAAATGTGGCACTAAATTGTATCCATCAAGTATCCATAATGTGCACACATATATCTGCAGCATGAACACTAAAGAGATATTTATAATTGGATTCTTCGCAGTACGTTCCAAGATAAATAGCGGAAGTGCTTGTAACTCAAAAATGACATCACACAGAATTTCAGCCTCGAATACAAGATTGAGATATGAAGATCTAAACAGGGAGGGATCCAGGATTTCAAGTTAACGGGGCGAAATTTTTTCGTTTGTGGAGGGGTGAAATTTTTTCTGCTAGTGTAGCGTGTAAATTTTTTCGCTAGTGTAGCGGAGCGATTTCTTTTGATTGTGTAGCAGGGAAATTCTTTTTCGCTAGTATAGGACTCTGCGGTTATTTTTTAGGGGAAATTTGACTTTGCACCCCACTTTTTGGATGATATTGGATTTTGCACCCCATTTTTAAAAAGCTTTGACTTTGCACCCCAACACATACCATTTTGTGAAGAAAAAGTTCTAAATGGGTGCAAAGTCAAAGGAAATTTAAGTGGAATGGGGTGCAAAATCAAAGTTTTTTCAAAATGGGGTGCAAAGTCCAATATCACCCAAAAAGTGGGGTGCAAAGTCAAATTCCCCCTATTTTTTATTCAAAAAAGTTCCTTTCATACACATACACGACAATAACTAAATCTATTACATTTTAGGTTTAGACAATATAAAAATAACTTTGATTTTATAATTGAAATTATTTAGAGAAAGTATTGATACATTAAAGCGTAAGAAATGGTAAATCAAAGGAAAATTATTTGAAAATAAAAAGGATATATGACATTTTAATTATCAAATTATTTGAAGAAAAATTTAAAAGGTACATATCTATTACCACGTACTACTTTTTAAATAACTTCTGTTTTGTTTAACCACATGAATATTATCACAATAAAGATTTGATTTTTGAATTGCAATAGTATATGTATAAGATTACTATTTTTAGAAAAATATTATGATACTAATCCATATATATGGTGCATATTGTATTTGTATTAATGCTAAAATATGTTAAAGTTTATTATCTATGCAATAAATTGTTTTTATGAAGTGTAAGAAGTAAATGAATTGTGTAATTTAATGTCAACAAACATTTATATTTTGCATTCATTTCACATGTCTAAAATTGTTTAACTAGTGTGTCTGGTCTTTAATTTCATTTGATATTTTTCAAAACCGAGTACTAATTATCTAACAAAGATAATGTTTTTTGAAAGAATCTAACAAAGATAATTATACATTACAAAATTAGGATTTTTATATAATAAGTATCCTAATTTTTAAATAATGAGTTGTCTCTATTTGTTTGAGTTATGTAAATTATTTTAGATGTTTCTACTTTTACATCTGAAATTAAGTATTACATTATGTAAGACTATATATTAATTATAAAAAAAGAAGTTAAGGGGGGCGAACACATAAATATCTAGCTAAAATTGAAATTTTTTTATGAAAATATTACATACAAGTATATAATAGAAATTTTTGAAAGTCCTAGGGGAAGTCGCCCCCCACACCTCCTTAAATCCATCCCTGGATCCAAACCTGGTGACAATGAGAAATTCCACCGGTGGTTTGGTTTATGAGCCCCTGAACTCCATTGAGAGACTAAAAATATAAAAATTTGATAAAGCTGTTCATTTAGATTCAATAAGAATTCTTTATCATTTCTGCATGTCTGAAACAAAAGGTTTACTCTAAATTACTCCATATTTATTTCTAATGGATTTGCTTTCCTTTGCTCTTGAACTAAAGGAGAAAGGATTATTTTGAGATGATGAGGTTAGTTTTCAGATCCTTTTTTGCTCCCTCATTTGTAGTGTTAGTTATTTTCAATCAAGGATGCGTTTGGAGGAGAGATTTGACGTTGCTAGGAGCATAGCGGAAGCGTGTATCTAGGAAGAAGAGTTAAAGAATCTATGGGCGAATAAGCCTCAACCAATATCTCCTACTTATATCTCCTACTTATATAAAGAGTCACATGGACGGCCGTCTCAAATTTCTGCCCATTTTCGATTAAGTGAGGCTTCCGTCTGTCAATTCCCCCTTCCCCATTTTGAACTTGAAACTCATCTTCCTCTGATTCGATGCCTATCCTCCAGACCCTCCACCCATTGTTTCGCCGTCAGCCTCACTATTCCGTGCTCTCTGTGGTTCTCCTTCATCCGGGCCTGTGCGTATTGTTTTGGTTTATCGGCAGACTTGTGGTTGTTCATTTCATCCCTATCTTTTTCGTACGAACAATTGTAGACTCAAGGTCATTCTCGTTTTCTCTCCCATTTTTACATTTAGGATCTCATCTTTACATTCAAGACCACTCACTCACTCCTTTGTTGGTAGGTGTTTAAGCAAGAAACTAACAATTTCTCCAAACAATTAAGAATAAAGTAACTAGGCTTCGCACAAGAGATTACACAAGTATTGTGCTAGAATCCGGGTATGAAAGCTTTTAGAATACGAATGAGTTTCGTTAGTAATGGAGTAAGCAATTCGAGTAGTAATTGATCAATGAATCAGATCCCTTTCTATTTACAACGTATCCTATTTAAATTGGCCTTCTCCTCTCTTATCAGCTCCTTAACTGCCCGTCGAAATAGGCGGCACTATATTTGAACGTGTCAAGTCGTTTCTTTTGCTCCAAGTACGATTCGCTCTTATCCTGGCCGAACTGGACTCTTCTTGCTGGACTTCGTCTATACTGCTTGGAGAATGGGCCGCATGTCTTAACTCATAAATCCACTGCTGGGCCCCTTCATTTGACGGAAATTTCCTGGCCCAACAATTGCCCCCAATTCGATGAAGTAATTGGCGCTGAGAGAAACGAACCGTCTGCCCAATTGCTACTTCGAATTTGAAACCAAACCGTCTTGGAAGTTGTGTAGCCGACTACTTTCTCATACTCATAATTACCTCCACCGAATTACTCGCCATATTCCTCTTCCTTCTTCGAAACCCTTCCTCCTTCTTTCCTCTGCAACCATCCCGTCAGCTCCCATGGCTTCCCCAGGCTTCGTTCCGCAGCACATCCTCGAACCCAAAAGTGCCAAACAAGCAAAACTTACTGAGGAGCAAGTAGAACTTATTCAGACTTCTGCTGGCTTTCCCCCCACTGCGACTATCCGTTTTCCGGCGGCGAACGAGCGTATGGACTGGTTCTGCCCTGGTTGGGTGAATTTCCTGTACTACCCCTTCAAGATTGGGATGAAATTTCCCTTCTCTCCCCTAACCCGGGGCTTCTTGGAGTTTGTGAACCTATCGCCCTCTCAGATTATGCCTCAGGTGTGGAGGATTCTTCGTGCACTGGAGGTTGTGAGCGAAAAGTACGGTATTCCCTTCGAGTTCGAGGACTTGGGCTTCACCTATGAACTCCGAACTTCAGGGCCTGGCAGGTTCACCCTGGCGATGAAAGATAGGAAACCGAGGCTCATTCACAAGGTCGACAAGGCAAATGACAGGGGCTGGATGCATTGGTATTTTTTTGTTCTCAAAGACTCGCTTGGCAGCGAAGGGTCCTTTCTTGAAGATAACCTGCACAAAGGTAAACCACGAAAACTTCTGTATCTTTTGTGTTCATTTGTTGTTGTCTCTTTTTTTTTTTTTTTTTTTTTTACACATATGTTTGAAATTTGGTAATCAATTGCAACCCTTGATTTTTCAGAAAAGAAAACAATATCCATCCCTCACGGACCAAAGTCGGAGGAGCGAACAGCCCAAATTCAAGTTATCCCTGTGGAAGAACGTTGGTTTGCAAACCTGGTCGCTGAATCTCCAGGTATGCCCCCCACTCTCACTCCTGATAGATCTGTTGGGTTAAGGCGCTCTAATCGCAATATGAAGACTTCAATTAATCTGATGCAAGGCTCGTCTGTAGTCTCTCTTGACGACTCAGATCAGGAATCAGACACCTCGAAAACTGGTGCTGGTGAGAATGCAGACATCTATACCCCAATGCAGGTCGTCTTTCCTGTGGGTGATAATCCTCAGATGGTTCCAAAGAAGTGTCCCCTTCCAGCTACTGGTAAGCACAGTCACGCCCTTTGACTGGGGTTTCTCAATAGGTGGTGTTTGTTTCATGATGCTTGTATGTTTGCAGCTGCCGCATCTTCGTCTAGCTCTCGTTTGGTTCCCTCTGCTCATGAACTGCTTGCTCTGGCCTCTAGGAAGAAAAGAGTCTCTCCTCGACTAGCTTCCACTCCCCAGAAGTTTCCCAAGTTAGCTGTTGCTGCTGAAACCAAACCAAACGTACCGCGCCCTCACGAGGTCAAAGCAGTTCTGACCTCCAAGCCATTGGATGTAAAGGTGTCACTTTCCCCTGACTTTTGCAGTTTACAAGACGTGTCCCTGATGAGGGGAGAAATGCACAAGCTCATGCTTCCTTCCTCTCCAGACGTCTTCAAATGCCTGCCTCCCGCTGGACTACTGTCTGCATCTTCGGCCTACGCTTTTCAGGTAAACACGACTTTGTTTAGTTATTTCTTTATAAGTAGCCTCCTGATGTGATGGTATGTCCTGCCAGAGCTTACAAGCGAGTTTGGTTGCTGCTGAGAGAGTGGCTTCGCTGGAGAAGGCTCTCGACGAATCCAGGCATAAGGAGTCGACTGCTCGCTCCTTAGCAGAAGAAAATGCAAAACTGGTCCAGGACTTGCAAAAGGAGGTGTCAGCTCAATCTGCTCAAATCTCAAGGCTCGTCGACAGGATCAAAGCGCTGGAGGCTTATGGTCGGAAGAAAAAACAGGAAGTCACTGACGCGGCTTGCTACTATGTTTGGCAAACGAGGGGAGAACTTATGGCTTCCTTTCTTGCGGGTGAGTCGTCTGGCTGGAATGCTGAGGAGGATATTGCGACTTGGAAAAAGGTTCAAGAGGACATGGATCCTCCCATTGCTGAAGACGGCTTCGACGTAGGACAATCTGATGGCGAGGCTGACTCCCAACATGCTTAGGTTGTTCTGTACTCTTTAGCATTTTTGCCAAAACATCTCTGATCTTGTTCCCGGTATTCTGGTGGTTTATCCAGGATGGGATGTACTCTTGACTCTTTATGCCTGTGCACTTGGTGGTTTATCCAAGGCCTGACTTTCATTTTGCTATGTTTGATGTGAAAAACTTTGATGTGTCTGTTTTTGTATCCTGTGTGTGCGCACTAGTACTGTATATATATGTGATGTCATGTATGTTCGTTGATTTTGGCCAAAAACATATATGTTGTAAGGGCCGGTTGGGACTGTAATCCATGATACTCTCATGGGCAGCCCAACCCTTTCCCTTTTTTATGTTGATGTACGATACCCAATTGGTAAGGGTATAAATGATGCTTTCCATCCTTCGTAAATTGGTTCTCTGCTGCTTGTCTCAAGTTGACCCTGCACTCATTACAACTCGTCAAAGTTGGCCGTCAGCTTTGAGCCAACGGCCCTCCGATGGTTAAGTCAGTAAGCAATTATGCATGTGTTTTAAGAACGAAAATACACACCATACCTTTGACATGTCACAGCCTTCCTTGTCTACCATCTCTTTAAGTGAGCCAAGGACTTACCAGGTTAACAAGTATAGAATACTTCGAAGGAAAAATGGAGAGACATCATATAAATTATCCCTAACGTATTCTAATCCAATCATTTCGACTTATTCTTGATATGAAATTTTCCAGAGTAAACTTACTGATCCGTCAAGGATCAGCTTGAAAGATAAGGCAAAACTTCAAAGGGACACGCAAATTAATTATGACGTTGTGACAGATCCGTCACACCCGAAATGTCATGGCCCTTACCAGGATGTATGACGCATCCAAGGGTCCTACCCAGCGCTTCACTTGGCTTCCTGCACTTCAAAGTTTTGTTATGTCCGGCCGTTGGCTTTTAGCCAACGGCCCTCCGATGCTTAAGTTAGTGACTTGCTCTAATCGGATCATAAAATATGAAAAGATTTAAAAATGGAAAAGTTTTAAGTGTACCGCATTCCAGCTTCTAGGAACCTGTTTACCATCGATTGATTCTAAGCGATATGCCCCCTGTCCAACAATGTCGACGATCTTATACGGACCTTCCCAATTGGGGCTGAATTTCCCGCTTGCTTCATTTCCGAACGCTCTTCTCAAAACCCAATCTCCTTTCTTGAACACCCTTGCCCGAACGTTCTTATTAAAACTCTTTGCCACCATTTGCTGATAGGACTGTAGACGGATCTTAGCTTTCTCTCTAATTTCGTCGATAGTGTCAAGATCATGTATTAACTCGACGTTGTTCCGTTCTTCAGTCATAAGCCCATATCTTGAAGATGGCACTTCAACCTCTGCCGGTATGACCGCCTCACAGCCATACACCAAGGAGAAAGGAGTCTGTCCGGTCGCATTCTTTGGAGTCGTCCTGTCAGCCCACAATATCAGGGGTAACTCGTCAGCCCATCTGCCCTGTGCTTTTTCGAGTCTTTTCTTCAAATTGGACACAATGATTTTGTTGCTAGACTCGGCTTGTCCATTGGATTGCGGGTACCTAGGAGTCGACGTTTCCAACCTGATGTTGTACCTTTCGCAGAAGCGTCGGGTTTTTGTACTTATGAACTGGGACCCATTATCGCACACGATCTCTGACGGAATGCCAAACCTGCAAAGTATATTACGTCTAATAAAAGATATTACCTGTTCATCGCGTACCTGACGGAATGGCTCAGCCTCCACCCATTTTGAGAAATAGTCCGTCATTGCCAACATGTAAACCTTCTGTCCTGGAGCTTCGGGCAGCTTTCCCACGATGTCCATTCCCCATTTCATAAAAGGCCAGGGTGAGAGGACCGGATGAAGCGACTCAGACGGCTAATGACGGATCGGTCCGTGCTTTTGACAAGCCTGACAACTTTGGGTGAAGGTGATTGCGTCGTGCCGCATGGTTGGCCAGTAGTATCCAAAGCGGAGAGCTTTGTTGGACAGACTTCTCCCCGCAGCATGGTTTCCACATTCGCCTTCATGAAGATCTTTGAGCACCCTTATGGCCTCTTGAGGTGCTAAACATCTTTGGTATGGACCTGCTTTAGATCTTTTAAACAGTACATCATCGATTAATAAGAATTTGGTTACCTTGGAGAGGAATGCCTTAGCTTCCTTTTTGTCTGATGGCAAGATGTTATGTCTCAGGTATGCTATGTATGGCTGCGTCCAGTCATCTTGTGAGGACGAACTGATTGTGCTGACGGACTCCAACCTGTCAATTTCCGGACTTGTCAAGTGGACGAAGGGGATGTTACTGTTGACCTCTGCCCCCAGACATGACCCAATTGCGGCCAAAGCGTCTGCCTGCGTGTTCTCTTCTCTTGGTACTTGTTCAAGTGTGATCTCGTCGAACCATGCCATCAATTTCGTGACGACTTGCAGGTAGGACGTCATCTTGGGATCCTTTGCTGCATAAACACCATTAGCTTGGTTAACTATTAACAAGGAATCACATTTTACCTGGAGTAGCTTGACACCCAAATCCTTTGCCAAAGTTAGGCCTATGATCAGCGCCTCATACTCCGCTTCATTATTTGTGGCGTTAAAATCACAATGAACGGCTTGGAGCATAGTGTCCCCCTGTGGCGACTTTAGCACTACGCCTAGGCCTGCTCCGTTTAAGTTCGACGCTCCGTCCGTGTGCAATGTCCACTTCTGTTGAGGCAGACCGTCTGTGATGATGCATGCTTCCTTTTCGGCTTCGGTCTGGAGCTTAGGGCTAAAGTCCGCCACAAAATCAGCAAGCGTCTGGGACTTCAAGGCAGTTCGTGGCTCGTACCGAATGTCATAGGCTCCCAGCTGGATCGACCACTTGGCCATGCGACCTGACAATTCTGGTTTCCTCATGATTGATTTCATGGGATAGTTAGTCCGCACACAAATAGTATGTGATTCAAAATATGGACGTAATTTAACCGATGCAGTAATCAAAGCTAAAACTAGTTTTTCAAGTAAAGCGTACCTGGTTTCGGGTCCATTCAATGACTTACTTACATAGTATACCGGTGTCTGCATTCCGTCATCTTCTTTGGTTAACACAGCGCTGACAGCATGTTCTGAGACGGCCAAATACAGCTGAAGCTCGTCACCCTCTTTTGGTTTTGTCAACAATGGCGGGGTTGTCATATATTCCTTCAATCGCTGGAGTGCCTGCTCGTGTTGATCTGTCCACTCGAACTTCTTGTTCTTACGAAGTACGTCATAGAAAAGGCGACACTTGTCAGATGACTTGGAGATGAAGCGGTTCAGAGCAGCAACTCGACCTGTCAACCTCTGCACATCTTTGACTGACTTTGGTGATTCTATGTCAATGATAGCTCGGACCTGCTCTGGGCTTGCTTCTATTCCACGTTCACTGACGATATAGCCTAAGAATTCCCCTGAGGACACACCGAAGGCGCATTTCGCCGGATTGAGCTTCAGGTTGTATTCCGTCAATTTCTTAAATGATTCTGCCAGGTTGTCAACGTGGTCCCCAGCTTTCCTTGACTTGACGATCATATCGTCTATGTACACCTCCATGGTCTTTCCAATTTGATCTTTGAACATCATGGTGACGAGCCTTTGAAACGTTGCACCTGCATTTTTTAGACCAAATGGCATAACAATATAGCAATACGTACCTGTTTCAGTAATGAAGGCCGTCTTTTCTTGGTCATCAGAATGTAGCTGAATCTGGTGGTATCCGCTAAAGGCGTCCATGAACGAGAGCATCTCATGCCCGGCAGTCGCATCTGCCAATACGTCAATGTGTGGCATGGGGAATGAATCCTTTGGGCATGCTTTGTTCAAATCGGTGAAGTCCACGCACACACGCCACTTCGCCTTTTTTCCTTTTGCTGCCTTCTTTTTGACGACAACGACATTAGCTAGCCAATCTGGATATCTGACTTCTCTAGCTTTCCCGGTTTGGAGAAGAGCCTCGACCTCTTGGTTTATGATGTCGTTCCGCTCCCTTGCAAAACGTCTTCTTCGTTGTCTGATCGGTTTATATGACGGATTGACATTTAACTTGTGTGTGATGATCTTCGGGTCAATTCCCGTCATGTCTTTGTGACTCCAAGCGAATACATCCTTATGTTGTCTAAGAAAATGGACCAGTTCAGCTCTGAGGCTTGCTGGCAAATTTGTCCCGATGCGGATGACCCGTTCTGGATGCTCGTTGTCGATGACTACTTCTTCCGTCTTTTCGTCATCTTCCTCCAAAGCTGGGTCACCCTTTAGTTGCTATGCTGAAGTTGGAGGGTTTGCTGTAGGCTTCATGGCCGTCTGATAGCAAGACTTGGCTACCACCTAGTCTCCCCGAATGGACTCTATCCCCCAAGGCGTTGGGAATTTGACGACCTGGTGATACGTCGACGGAATGGCTCCCATTTGATGCAACCACGGCGTCCCCAAAATCATGTTGTAAGCTGGGAGATCCTTGACTACATCGAACCTGACCTGCACATTAAGACCGTTAGCGTAAACAGGGAGAGAGATATTACCTATGGTCCTGCTCGGCTCTCCATTGAAGCCGACGAGTGTGGATCCTGATTTTGCTATGTCATCCTCTTTGATTCCCATCTGCTCCAGCATCCGCATGGTAGTTATGTTGGCCGTGCTTCCGTTGTCGACAAGGACCCTCTTCACTTCAAAGTTTGCCACCCTAAGGGATATGACCAGAGCGTCATGGTGGGGTTGCATAGGATCTGGCATGTCTGACTCGTCAAAAGCAATGGCCGTGCTTCTCCAGTCGTCACGTCGTCTTTCTACTTGACATACCTGCAATGACTTGTCTCGGGAATACTCCCGAGCGTGCCTCTTGGCAGCAGAATACGTTAGGCCACATAAATCCGACCCGCCATTAATAAAATTAATTACCTGGCAGGGAGCCGAAGGTGATGGAGGTCGTGTCGCTTTAGTTGACGATTTGTCAGTTCGTCCTAAAAGAGCTTTAGTCCGTTCTGACATGATTTCCGTCAGATACCCGTTCTTCAAAAGATAAGCGACCTCCTTTCGCAATGCGACGCAGTCCTCGGTGTTGTGCCCGATGTCGTTGTGGAAGTCGCAATGTTTGCTCGGGTCTCGCTTTCCAGCTGGCTTGTCGGTTCTCTTGGGCCATCTGACTTTCTCTCCCAACCTCTCCAAGGAGTTGATGAGCCCCGCTGTACTGACATTGAAGCAGAAGTCAGGAATAACCGGAGGTAGATCAGGATCGTCGAGCC